ACTATTTAATATTACAAATTGACCATTTTACTCCTTAATCTAAATAAAAAATCGATACAACTATATATAGTTATTTTCATTATATTTAATTTTATAATAAACAAACATATCATTATATTACTATCAGCATACATTAAGATTATAGACACAAAATTTATCCAAGTTTTTCGAGTCAAATCTCAGTTTTAAATTCGTTTGGGTTTTATCAAGTTCGTGGGTTGAGGCCCGATTTTAATGTATTTGGGCCGGAGCCCAATTTCATTTTTTGGGGGCTTAAGCCCACTATTTTATTTTTACCTTTATTATTTAGTTTTATAATTAAACATTAAATACAATAACATTAAATAATATAATTAATTAATTAAACATTAACCAAAAATACAATAAAAACAAAAATGGGCTAGAGGTTGGTGCTAGTGGGTGCTGTGTATGGCACCATTGGACATTCACCATCTGTAGTTGTTGAGCACTACCACCCACTCTTAAGCACCCCATGAGCCTTTGACCCACACCCAGGCTCTAAATCACCTACCTTGAACCATCTAAGACTCAAAACCACTCCTCTGTGCACTTGCCTACCTTGAACCATCCCTTGTGCACCGAGACCTTGCACCACCTACCCTTAGACCCACACCTTGAAACATTGCCGGCCACCAATCACTTTTTAGATCAAAGCCCTATAAATCAAGTCTCAAACCAACCATTAACAAAAAAAAAAAAAAAGAGAGACTCTGCCCAAAAACCACAAAAAAAAGCACAAAAAAAAAAAAAAACAACTGTCATGACCAAAAATCAAAGAAGAAACTAAAAAAAAAAAACAAAAAAAACCACAAATTTCCTTTTGGGAAGAACCCAGCACCATAGCCCAAATATGTTTTTTAGGGGAGTGAAAGGTGTTTAGGGGTATGTTTTGGGCTTTTTCGATGATCGATATGACGGTGGGGATGGCTGTCGGTGATCAACTTCTGGGATATCAATCGACCCTGGGTTTTTGGTTCAAAAAGAGTTTTTGGAGTTTTTTTTTTTTTAAAGAAAGGGAAAAATGGAGTCAAAAAAAAATTGACTTTTATATAGGCAAACAAAGGTCAAAATGACGTTGTTTTGAGCCCCCAAGATCTGTGCATTGACCTACTGACTTGACCTGGGGTCTGTATACCCAACCCGATAATCTGGCCACCCTTAAGCCCTAGCCTAGTTCGATCTAGCTAAACCGGCCTAAACTGACATTGATTGACCCAAACTAGCGTTGACTGGATAGTTGATCGATTCAGTTAATGTAATTTTTTATTTTATTTATTTATTATTTTTAGTTTTTATAGTTATTATTTATGTATGTTTGGAATTTTAACTTTGCTAGAATAAATACTTGTTGATTTTTATAATAATAATATTAACAAAAGAAAGACAAAATAATATATATGAAATTAATAAAAAATGAAAACAAAAAGATAAGTAACACTAAATAATGAAAAATAAAGTCAAAATTTTTTATAATTCTACTAAAAGGTTAAAATGAACTTTATAAAATAATATAATAAAAAATAACTAAAGAGTAAAATACTAACAATACTAAAAAAATGATTTTTGAACTTTGATAATTTTTAAATTTGAAAAAAGGAAAAATAACCCAAAAATAATAAAAAAATTAAAAAAAATGTAAAAAAAAGATATTTTTATTCGAAGATGAGATTTTAAGATATTTTGAGTAGCAAAGTCTATGAAATTTTTAAGTGAGAAGATTTTTTTAAAAGATTACCAATGTGTTGAAGTATTTATAAAAAGTTTTTAATATAATAAAAATTTGCTTTTTTGCTATAAAGTAAAATAAAAATTAACTAAAAATTATTAAACGAAATAAAAATTAACCAAAATAAGAATATTAATAATAAAAAATGAAGAAAATTTTATCCGATAATGAGATTTTAGAATATTTCGAGTAGTAATGTTTTACAAATCTTTAGGTGAAAAGATTTTTTAAATATTATCGGTGTATTAGAGTATTTATAGAAAATTTTTAATATGATAAAAATTTCTCTTTTCTTCAAAAAAATAAATATTAATAAATTAAAAAACTAATTATATTTTTAAAGGAAAAATAAAATACATGCATTGATATCTTGTCATTTGCATTGCATGCACATCCTTATCTTTATGAAAAATAAATACGAGCCTTTAAGGATCGAGAAATTATGCCTACAAAATTTCTAGATGAGAAAAAATTTTTTAAATGTTACCAACATACTAGAATATTTTAAGAATTATTTTAATAAATTGATCATAATTTATTTTTTTGAATAAAATCAAATAACAAAAGGAATAATAATAAAAAGAACCAAGATTTTGATAAATAAAGGAAGACAAGAAAATTATTTTTAAACATTGAAACTAAGACCCTTTTTTTTTATCAAAATCAAATAATAGCATATAATTAATTGGTATCATTTTAAATAAGCACTGTAAGAGTACTAATCATTTTCATGTGTAATTAACTTCTGGACTCAAGCTTTTTTGTAGATCTTAAAATTATCTTTTTAATAAATTTTAATCAATTTTAAAATTTTATTTAAATGATATCTTTTTATAGGTGACCAATCACACTTAATAAAAAGTAAATTGGTACGACTTCATTTTTTGTTTATTTCTTTTCATTTTAAATTCGTCGAACGGCTCCAAAACCGTTATAACAAAGATATACTAAAAACTAAATATTTTTGAAAAAAAATTTATTTAAATAAAAAATTTATTCTCACAATAATACACTAATAAAAAATTGAAAAAATTAATAATTAAAATAATTAAATATTATTTATTATTACTATTTTTATTTATAATATTCTTTAATTTAAAATTTTCTTTTTATTATTAATTTAAGTAGAAAATTAAAAATACTTGAAAGGGAAGCACTCTAGTTGCAATAAAATTCAACGCGTAACTAAGGGCAGTATATGTTGACTGTTTTAGGTCGTTTTTTCACAGTATATGGTGGTTTTTTGAAAGTGATGCCTTTACGAAACATGATCGGATGTCTGCTTCTTATTATATTGGTTTTAAGTTGAATTAATTTTGCACGTGTCTTGAGAAATGTTTGTTCCAATCTTAAATGTTAGGGAAATAGTTAAATTGGTTAAATGATAGCTCTCTCTCCTGCCTTCCTAGTTACTTCCTTGGAGAAATTAAGATAGTTGGAATCTCATTTGTTGATTTGCTCTTTCAATTGACATGAAATAACATAATGTTTTATTTTTTGTGATTCAATATAATTTTTTTTAAAAAAAATCAAACTTCTTTAAATAAGATTTAGATACGTGAATGTATTTATCATTAAATCAAATGTTCGAATATTATATATTAATAAAAATAAAAAATCAGAAGGAAATATTTTGAGATTAATAAACCTATAAAAGCATGGGATGTTTTAAGCATTTTTTAGTCAAATTATAATTAATTAGAACATGACACGTATCAAATTTGACAAAATTTTCAAACAGATTTACAATTTATTAATAGCCAATTTCAAATGGAAGGCAACCCTAATGTTTCCTGGCCCTACTATTTCCTTCGAATCCAATAAAGGAAATACCATTCCTCCCCAAATCTTTTCCTTCCATTTTCCTTTCCTTTTGAAAACTGACTTTTTTTTTTGTCTCAGTTTGGTCGGTGAATGTCAAAACTCAAATCATCAAACAGTAAGCAACTAAGAAATTCCTTTAATTTAATGCAAAGCTTTGCTTAGTTATTAAGTAGATTTAAAATTCAAATTTTAATATTTATAGTTTTTTAATTTTAAATTACAGTTTTTTTTTGTAATTTTTTTCGTAGTATTTTTTAAGACTATAAACAAACAGATATGAATAAACAAATATATGTTTGTAGTTTGTTCATTTATTTTTAAAATTTTTTGAGCTTGATTCATGTTTGATAAAAAAATTACTCTATTTGTTTGACTTTGATTTATTTAAATAATAAGATGTTTTTGTTTGTTTGTGTTTAATTTGATTAAATTAATCGAACTCGTTCGTAAACATATTCACAAACATATATAAATGAATATGTTTATGAATAATGAATAAGTCATAACAAAATAAATTTAAACAAATAAATCTTAAATAAATATAGACAAGCCTTAAAATAGGATCAAAATAAAAATAAAAATGTAAATTTGTTATTATTATTATAAATAAATAGCAAACAAACAATAAATGAATAAGTTTTAAATGAATTTGTTCATGATTATAAATGAACAAACGCTCTACTCGTTTTTGGTTCATTTAATAAACAAATATAAAAATAATATTTAAAATCATTTATTAAATTTAATAAATGAATATAAACAAACACAAATTGAATATATTTACAAACAATTCGTGGAAAGTTTTATTCATTTATATCCTTAGTGCAATTGTTTGATCAAACAGTGAAGAGTAGAAAACAACTAACTTTACATGTGCTTTTCATGTCTTTCCTTTGACTCTTTTATAATTTTTTATTTTTTTCCAAAATATGGTAAAAAAGTAGACTGTTTGTCGTGAAAATTAACTTGCCTTTTGTGTCTAAAGAAAAAAAATATAAAAAAAATAAAAAAGAAAAAGAGAAGGTTCAATGTAACTTGTTTGAAGGGCAAATGAAAATTTTTCAAAGGCATAGATTTGGTCAAGGTTTTCTATGTTTCCTTTCCCTCCTTTGTCAAAATGAAATACATTTCGTCGCTAATTGTTCAATCTTTTCATATTTCCTTTCTTTCAATTCAACTATAGAAGTAAAAATGCTTGTAAAAGAAGGATCTAAATCCACACTTAGAAAAAACAATTAGGCCAAATCATTCAACCAGACACTCCTATATATATATAGCATTAGGAACCAACATTCTTAAGATACAAGCTACACACACAAAAACAAAAAAAAAAAAAGAAAAGGTTGTTAGAGAAAAATAAAATTAGGGTTTTCCTTCATTTTTCTTATTGTTCAAAACCATGCATATCCAACGTTATTCATCTGCAGCCATGGTGAACTTCCATCGCAACTTTCTTGCTCGCCAAACATCAACGAGAAAGTTGGAGAATCGTCTTATGGCAAATAAAGCTTGTGAAGTTTTCATTAATCATAGAGGCATTGACACCAAGAGAACTATAGCAACCTTACTCTACAATCACCTTTCGTGGCTAAATGTACAACCTTTCTTGGATAACAAGAATATGAAACCAGGAGATAAGTTGTTTGACAACATCGATAATGCGATAAGGAATTGTAAGATTGGTGTTACTGTGTTCTCACCAAACTATTGCAAGTCCTACTTTTGTCTTCATGAATTGGCTCTTATCATGGAATCCAAGAAGAAGGTTATTCCAATCTTTTGTGACATTAAACCTTCGCAACTTCAGATTGTGAACGGAAATGTTCCAGCAAAGGATTTCCAAAGGTTCAAATTGGCTCTTGAGGAGGCAAAATATACTGTAGGGCTCACATTCGATTCTTTAAAAGGGTAAAGATCTATGAACCATTCTTTTATTATAGCTATTCATCTTCATTGACTAATTTCATAAACTTGTGGAAATCCTTTTACTAACTTCTTTTTTGTTCAATTTTACGTAGGAATTGGTCGGATGTGGTGACAAGTGCTTCAGAAATTATAATCGAGAGCCTGACTGAGATGGAAAGCGAGAAGAAGATTATTAAGAGCTTGAAGAATACTCCAATGACTCTTTGATTCAGACTCTCAAAGTTATGCTGCTGCCATCAAAGAATGTTAATGATTTCTTCATCACATTTTTCTCAATTTTCATTGCATTATTCAATTCCATGATAAGCCTAAAGATTCTTTCCTTTGTTAATCTTTTTACTTGTACACTTTAACAGAAGCAAGAAAAATAAACAACATACTTCTAATCTTTACTTCATTTGTACAATCATACTTAATTGTAATAAGATTCAAGTTAATGATATTCACATCCATTTACTTTTTCTTTTATTAATTGGTGATTAGAGAAAAACAGAATTTGATGTTCAAAATTGAAAGATTGGTTTCATGACCATTCTAAGTCAAGTACATTACTATGTGTTTCCAATTCGGTACATATTGGTTTTGGCAGTTATATATGACTGAGAATTGAATTTTGCTTTATCAACAAAGAAGAAAAGATGAATATAAATTTTCAATATTTTTTTATTTGAAAAAAGAATTTGAATCCTTATCTTTGAGCTGCAATCATACATTAATCACTTTAATTAAATACTCTAAATAAATTGATGTGATTCACACGTTGAAAATTATTTTTAACCAACTTTAGGCTAAGACTATCATCAATTTTTCATTACTAAGAAATTAATTAATATTCTAGCTTGATTTACTACAATTAATGGCTAAACAAAATTAAACATGTTACACACATCCCTTCACGATAGAAATTATTGGATTTTGGCATTACAAATATATATAACTCTAGTGGATCCACCTTACCTTTCCAGGTTTAACCCAAATTTTGATTCAATACCCCAAAAGAAGGCAAAAGGAAAAAGCAACAAAAGAAAAAACCCTAGGTTGACCAACTCTATGGTAATGTAACAGACGCGCAATTTAAGCTTTTCAATTTTCTCATGATTCTCAGCATTACATCCACAGCCCTCATTGGAGAACTAATAAAAAAACAATAATAATGAAGAAAACAAAAGATGATTACTTTTTTTTTTTGGATAAAAACAACACAAGTATTACCCCAAAGGCTACTCACCTAGTACTATTCTCATCCGACACACTTAATTGTGAGATTTTGACGTGAATGCATTAATTTGGTATGATCACAGCGAAAAAAAAAAGTGATTATTGTTGAGAACTTGGATTTGAGTTAACAATTTTTGTGATCATATGCTTAATTGAAACAAGTTTTCCTCAATAGGAAGCTTGAAACTAGCTAGTGTTCATGTTTCTTTTTCTTTCTAAATCCCAAAAAACAAAGAACTTTTACTGCTAAATTGTTAGCTATACATGTAACTTCTACCCAACAAACAAAATTGTTAGCTGCCAAGCTCATTTTTGCTGACTATTAGCCTCTCTAAGCATTTCCAGTATTACCATTTTGTATTTTAGATCATCTCACTTTTTATTTCTGGTTCCGTCACTTGGTTTGAGGACTTACATTTTGATGATTCAAAGTTTTCATCAGAAGCACACAGCAACGGCCGTGTTGGATTTAATTGATAAACCAGAGGCTCTACATTTTTTGAAATATGTGCAACTATCAAGTATAGCAACCCAACATTCTTAACTTCATGTCTTGAAAGGAAAAAATTGGTTGGTTGGTGTGGGAGGGTGAGGGGATTAGATTGCTTAGATTCCTAGGATCTGAACCTGAAGTTGTAATCTGAAGTGCAGTTGCAGTAAATTTAGGTGGAACTTGGCTTGATTTTACTGTGTTAGTTAGGTTCATGGAACCACATAAATTTGCACTTATTGTGGCTCTAGGCAGACATAAAATTTGTTGGGTTTCTCCTGCCAAAATTTATGAAAGTTTTATTTTTTTTTCTTTTGGAAAGTATATTCTTTTGCATATGAATTGAGGGAAAAGATTGTGAAATTGTCAGGTCTTCTAGCCAAATCAAAATTTATGAATAAACAAAAATTAATTATGAATTGATTGTTTTGAGTAGATTTGTTAATTCGCATATTTATATCGTATTTATTTTGTGTATAACATGAAAACTATTATGTTACAAGTCATATTAATATGTCAAAAAAGAAATACATTTTTTTATTTTGTTAAATTCATATACAATTTTTATTAAAATTTTAAATCATATTATTTATATTATTTATATTATTTTGTATTATGTTTGAAATTGTCAAAGTCTAATTTTGAGCCGAAATCATAGGTGGTTCAAGCTACTATTCCTCAATAAAATTAATTGTAACAATAAAAGGAAGATGCCAAGAAATGTTTAATATATATTCTGTTTTTGTGATTCACATTTTTTCCTATGGAGAAGCCTTTTTTTTTAGTCACATTTCGGCTTATGGAGAAGCTTTTTGTAACTTTCTATGCAATTAGAACATAATCTTTGAGCCAAATATGGGAATCATAGCACCTTTATAAGAAACTGTAGCATGTCGGACAGGATATGTACATACATGAAAAACATTAAGTGATAATGTTGGTCCCAAATAATCTTTTTCCTGCATCACTAATTCCAAAGTGGTTTTTGACAGAAATGGACAAATGGACCCTTATGTCTCCAGGATCCATTGCATCAGTTGTTTTCATTAACTGAAACTCCAATCAAGTGACCCTCTTTTACATACACAAAACATTCTTAAAGAATGACATAAAGGTTCAAAAGTTTGATTGGAGGAAAGCAAAAGCTAGCTTGAAGAACAGGAGTGGGGTGAGGGGAGATTTGAAACTTTTGAATCTTTTCTTCTCATCTCTACATTCAAGCACATCTGAGTCTTGTTCTCACTGGCAAGTTGCAAAGGCTTATTATCATGTAGGATATGAATAGATGTGAATGAAAGATTTGCTAGATTTGGTAATTTGTTTTGACTAAATTAATCATATACTATAATGTAAATGCTTTAGTACTTTAAGTCCATAGAAATTTTATGTCTTATGAACTGCTTTTGTTACTATATATTTTCTTGTATAACCCCACCAACAATCAATATTGATGCTGCTTTTTGACTGTTCCAATGAAAGTTTAGAGAATTGTGATTCTCGTTTACCTCTGTGGAATTTATGAGGATTTGATAGAGATATTGAAGTGTCAAACAAGGCACAGTTGTGAATCATGGCAATTGATATTTTTTATTTTTTTATTTCATGATTAGAAAATCGATTTGAATTAAATTTAAATATTTAATATTCGAACCAAATTCAAATCAAATAAAAGAAAAACAATTGTATAACAAATTTGAATATTACAATTTTAAATTCGATTTTTAATTTTCTTGACATTTCCTCAAACCTAACCATAACAACACATTTTACTGACAATTTTCCAAACTTGGATCTTTGCCAAGCCACTTAAATATGTCGAAAAGGGTGTGTCAATAATGAAGTCCCTTTGCTTTCCCTTGCAGTAGCACTTAAGAAGTGTCAAAAGAACCTATTATTAATTCCCTTTGCTTTCCTAAGCAATATTTGGGGTATGTTATCATAAAACTTTCTGACGATCGAGTCATGGAGGCAGGCACAGCTCTCATCCTAATGGTATTTTCATTTTTTTTAGCTGTACACTCCTTGGACTAGGCACTTTCATTGGTATGAGATTTTGATCACCTGCCAATGAGAGTTGATTGAGTTGGAAAGGTCCGAATGCTTCGGTTGTAAGGCCTAAATTCGAATCTCACGATTAGCAATCTCTTTTGGTGAATGATCTGTAAATTCAATATAAATTTTCTCTGAGACCTACGATTTGCCCTGACCGTGAGAAAGCTTCCCCTCGCACTAAACTTTTTTGCACCAAAAAATGGATTTTGATCACCTCCAAGGATTTTTCACCTATGAAATAATGGAATTGCTCTTGTTTGAACAGCTTAAACAAGCATGATATGATGCATACTGGACATACACAAAAGTCAAGTTTTTATGCACAATCATCTACTTGATCAACATATTTCACATCAACAATTCACAGCAGAATAACATATGGTGAAATGTAGGACATCGTCACATTTCAGTTGATTTAGCTTCTGTTATAGCAGTTATGATAATTTTGCTTTTGCGAAAACGTTGAGAACCCTCTTTTCCATTCATGAACCCCTTTCTGTTACATCCTCTGCTTCTGCTAGTGAGAAAATCTTCATACCATTTAGTAGAAAGCTTTGAGGTCCTCTTCAGAGTTTGATGATTAACATAGTATAGTCCAAATGTTGAACTGTAACCTCCTGCCTATTCAAAGTTATCCATCAAGCTCCATACAAAGAATCCATGTACATCAGTGTCATTCCTATCAAAAATACGAACCGAGTCTTAGGTAAATTGAGCTGCTACTTTTTGTGTTTCAGCCATGAATGAAGAGTGAAGAACATTGTCTTGGATTCAGTTCTAATGTGTTTGAAAAGAAAGAAACAAGTTCTAGCTGCCAGAAAATTGAGTGCATAACTTATGAGCTGGAGTAAATTGTTGCTTATGAAGAGTTTATTCAAGTGATGAGGACTCAAAACTTTTGTTCGATAATCAAGAAGAAAAGCACAATATAGGTGTAACACCCCAATCTCATATCAGAAGATTTTGTTGATCTGCTATAATATATAAGTAGATATTTAAATTTAAACTTGTGAGGTATTTTTTGTAGAACAAACCCATAAGACTTTTGGATTAAAGTGGATAATACCTCATAGGTTGGGTGCGAATCTCTATAAATGATATTAGAGTGGTTGTCACTCACACAGGAGCTAAGTGCTACATTGTGGAAGCCACATTAAGAATCCCAACATCTAGTATGTGTGTATTTTGTGTTTTGTTGGGCTTGCCCAATATTTGGTATGATTTGGTGGATCTGTGTACTTTATGTTCGGCTTAACAAGGACGTTAAATTTTAATTGAGAGGGTTTATGACACCCCAATCTCATATCAAGAGATAAGTTTGTAACACCATAATCTCATATCAAAAGATTCTATGAATCTGCTATGATATATAAGTAGAGATTTAAACTCAAACTTATAAGGTACTTTTTATGGGACAAAACTATGAAACCTTCAAGTCATAATGAAC